TAGGCCTATCTGTGAAATCCACACTTCTAGACCCATCAGTTGACCCAGACTGGGAAGTTGGCCTATCAGGAAAACCACCAATCCTGCCAGCTCCAGAACCAGGCCTTTCAGCTTTCTGCCCAAATCTAACTTTATCATCCAAATCTCGAATCAGCATCACCAAATCCTTCTCCTTTTGAAGTAGTGTATCACGTAAACTAGGCTGGTCTCGAGCAGAATCTTTCTCAAGTTCCCTTCTTAAAGTATCTATTTCTTCTTTGAATACTTTCTCTTCATCTGTTTCAGGCCTGAAAAATTTCAGTACACAATAAATTAAATACACTAGCCAGCAGATGCTCTGGGACATATAAAATCATCTAGAGGAACAAGATAAGAGAAAATCACCATAAGAAACACCTCAAAGAAAGCGGCCCCCTCCCCCCAAAAAAAAAAAAAAAAAAATACAGTAAAAGAATCAATTCTTAAGCCCAAAACAAGTAGAAGGATGCCTAAAGAATGAAGTAAAATGGATAGCGCTTCCAGATAGGCTTCCTGAGGGCACTAACTCTGACAGACAGTAAAAGTGCAGTCTTTTGTAACTCCAGACTGAAACCAGAAGAATTCTAACAGGAAAATTTTTCCATGTTATTAATGGGATAATATTACAACTTACAACCAAATGCATGCACCATATCAAGCTCATCATACACACAAGTTGATCAATAAACAATAATGAGAACCATCATAATGGCCAAAACTGGAAAGCAATTGACTAGCCTAGCCTATGCATTAGACGAGACGTATGCATCACCCACACCAAGGATACAATTTGCACACTGGGATCCATTGCATTGAAAAGTTACTTACAAAGTTAAACTCTGATTATTTTTACCACAAAGCAATAGAAAACTCATACCATAATGCAAGAAATTGGCACTTGAGATTAGTTCCCAAATAATCAGCACAAAAAAGGTTAAAAAAATGGTGTACAGATAATGAACAAAGCAAGCAACACTGAGTGATGAACTTACCAAATTACATTGAAGTGTATGTCAAGAAAAGTGTAGAATGTTGTGAATTTGAGAAAGGTTCTAAAGGGAACAACAAATATATATTTACATGTTTTAATTAAATCAGCTCAAAGTTAACAGAAGTGAGTTGCACTTCAAAAATAAAGCTAGGCTTAGATTATTAAGAAGCTGATTCACCTATACGACCTTGTTTACTCCACCCATGTGTAAATTATAAGCAACATCAGATGCAACCTGCTCAACACTAGAGCAACCAAAGGGAAGGGAAAAATCTCAAGACTGCAAAGTTGCTACATGCAGTTATCAAGCTACTAACATGTGATTAGTGGAAAAAAAATCCACCACAGTCAGGATAAGAAGACATGCTTAGTAGAATACAAACAGAGAGTTAGCCTACTCAATGTTTCATTGATTGTTTTAGCTTCTGCTTAAGCTCAATGAAGAAGCCCATACAGCAACATCAGGTCAATTAATCATCACAGAGGAAAAGGTTTAATTAATTACTGTCATATCGATTTAGGCCACTTCAATTGTTTTCAAGTTCGCTCTTCATGCCAAATTGATCAGTTGCTCGTTTTTATTGTTGTATCATGCAAATAGCATCAAAGAAATTTCAACAAATATGCCTTAGGAGGGAAAAAGAGAAAAGGGGGGCAAGTAACCCAGTGCTTGGTAGTCATCCAAAATACCCATAGCAAGCCCTCCCATTTTGTTATTTTTCAGTATTACATGAATCACTAATAAACCATAAAATATACAACCCGACAATTTCATATTTCATATTGCATTTCAGGCAAAAACCATGATTATGCTGTAGCAAAACACATTGTAGATGGCATTAAAATTTACAAACCAACAAAAAGGTCAATCATTGCCAAAAATAAAAAAATAAGAAAAAAAGGGTCAATCTATTTAAGGAAAAACAAACAAGGCAAAATAATGAGTTCTAAGGTTAAAGCAACTTCAGAGGTAAAATCCATCATTCTCAAGGATTATCCAACCTATCGTGTTGTACCACTCCCCATGTTAAAAGTCTTAGCAATTTATAAGAATGTAGTAACAGTTATTGAGTTACAGACAAAGTTATATACTACAGGACCTATATAACGTAGCAAAACAATAAATAGAGAAATTATATAAAAACCTGTCAACGCTGCGATGCTCCAATTCAAGATCAATCTTGCGCCAATCCTGTCCTCGCTCTAGTAGCAAAACCTCCCTAGGCTTAGCATCTCCGAATGGATTTATCTTCGGTCTTGGCCTCACCACATTCTCTACGCTGGGCTGTTGTGTCTCCGACTTGCTAGACTGTGCGCTTGACGGCCGGCTTGACTGTGAGCTCGTTGGCCTACTATTTGCCTTCTTAGCCTCAATCTCTGTGTCCAGTTTCTTCCAATCCAAACCCCTATCTGCCAACACTTCCTCCCTAGGCCTGGCTGCTCCAAATGGATTTGGCTTGTTTGTCTTCGCTACTTGATTGATAACTTCACCACTTGGCGGATCCAAAACTAATCTAGGCCTTTCCTGCTGGGAGCCACCACCGTCTCTGCTCCATTTGTCAGGCTCCGAGGCAGAGCCGCGAAAGCCAGAGCTGAAAGAAGAAGATCTAGAATTAGCAGCAATCGGCCTTTTCCCTGCAGCCCAATTATCAACCTCATCGGCTCTAGATATTCCACCTCCCGTCCCAAGTCCACCATACCGATTTTGTCTTCCAGAAGAATCAAACGAAGGAATCGATTTCTTAGCTATTGCCCAATTATCCACCTCATCCGCCCTCGAAGGCTGATCGTAATCAGCCGCTCTAGGAGGCGGACCCCTGCGCTCCTCATCAAAACCACCATATTGCCGCCTGCCAGAGGCCCAAGACCCATCACTCTCTTCCCGGTCACGCGTAGCACGACCCGGAGGCGGACCCGACCGCCCATACGACGAAAACCCGCCTCCGAGCCTACCATACTGCATTTCCTCAGCAGAGCGTTCTTTAGGCCGGGTTGGAAGGAGCATCATCTCGTCCTGAGTCAATCTATTATATTCCCCACCTCTACCACCTCCAGGCGAAGAATACGTCCCCATATTAAACTCCGAGAGAGTCATCTTCTTCTTCTTCGGTTTCTCCTTAACAGCATCCTTCAAGCTCGGGAAACTCTGCGAATCAGCGTTAGACGCAATCCCACCAGCAGCCGCAGCAGCCGCAGCCACCCGCTCCTCCTCCTCCTCCCGCTCGGCCTCGGCCGCCCAAGCGCCGATGCCGCCACCCCAGGGTTTCGACATAAAAAATAAAAAAAAAAATTTCCCTCCCTTTGGTTCGATCTAAAACAGAGACTATCGCAAAATAAAAGATCTAAAGAAATAGACCGAGCTAGGGCTCCGTTAAGGGAGCCGGAGCTCCGATAGCATTCGAGTAAGATTTAGAGTTTGCGAGCGAGCGAGAAAGAAATTCTTCGACGGGGGGTTTGTAGCGAAATGAGCCGGACAAGAAACCGAAGCGGCCAGCTAAGGGCGTATTTTTGAGACGGAAACGAAGAGGGTAATGGAGATCCACGCGCGGATTGGGGAGTGTGGATGTCACGAGTCAATCAGAGGGCGAGTGTGGAAGTACTGTCGATGTGGGATATGGTGGTTGCCCATTGTGGGAGCCAGGTACTCTTTGACTTCTTCGTATTGAACGGCTAGGATACACTCGAGAATATGCTCTCTTTTTTTCAATTGTGGGTTTTCAGATGTAAAGAAAAAGAATAAAATATTTATTAAATTAAGTAAATAAAATAAAATAAAATAAAATAAATATTAAAGCTATTTAAATAATTTTACGGAAATTACTATATTTTTTTTACCTGTGTTTATCGGAAAAACACCTTTTATTTTTCGTACCGTATACGGTATATGATTTTGTATTATAGGTATTTTTTTCTTTATTTTTATTTGAGTTAATTTTGTCATGAGATTATTTTGTTCAATTTAAACTGCCTCACAAATCCGATGTATAATATAAAAATATTAACACTTTCGGGGGAGGGAAGGGAAGATCAATTCATCTAATTTCTTCTCTACCAAACATGCTCTTTTTTTATTAAAAAAAAAAA